CTTTCCCTAGAACGGGGACCGACCGGTGTGCACTCTTCTGTGAGAAGCTCTGCTAACCCTGTTCCAGTCTAGCTTCGTGGTGGTCTTATTGCTTGAAATCCCCGTAGGGAAATGCCAGAGAGTGCGGAATCAGTGATGAAAGATGGAGGCTTTGCCTCATATCCATCGTTCAAGAGAGAATAAATGGCTGGCGGAGATGGATTTTATATTGTATTGAAAGGGGATTGGAGGAAGGGGGGACTATGGTGGCTATAGAAAGAATCCAGAATAAAAACGGAGTTGTGAGAAGCACTGTGGCAATTGTAGCCAAGGGGTTCGACTTACATTTTTATTCTTCTCGGACTAAAATCAGAACCTTGCTTTGTCTTTGTCTCAGTATTGAAGTGTTCCCATTTGTGGGAGTAATGCGATGACTGAGAGTTGGTGCCCACGATATTTCAAGGCTGTTTCACCCAAAGGCAGCATTAAACAGAGTTTTATCAGTATATTTTCTTAAAAAGGTGGAAGCTGATAGCTTCCTGTGGAGCTTAACCCAAAACTCCTGGGTTAGATGTGTGCCCATTTTGCACACAGAGCCTTTAGACTGAGGACGGGACATCCAGCTTCTCTGGGTCCCCTCTGCCATCGTCTTCATGTGCTGGGCTGTGTCTACATGTTCATTTAAGCATGCCTGCATTTAATGTTTCTTAGCTTAATGCGCATTAAACGGGTTTAGGCAGGTGTCTACATGTGCAGGCGTTAAAACGCATTGTGTGTGGACTGACTTGGGACTAACACACAGCGTTAATGCACTTCAGTGTATCTGCATGTTCGTTAATGCACTTTAACTATTCACCATTTTAATGCGCATTAAGGGTGTGCATGTGTAGATGCATGCCCTTAAAATGCATTAACACATCATGTGTAGACGCGCCCGCGTGTTTCCAGGTGGAGTTGTGCTGTTCTCCCACGTCTGGGCACGTCAGCTGTTCTCACCCAGCTGGTCCAATGGGATTTAGGTCCCCGTGGTTCCTCCCCTTAGAGGTTTGACCACTGATCAGTTAGTCTCAAAACCGAATGATCGTCTCTCACTATAGAAGCAAAGCATTTAGGGATTATGATGCGAATGTAGGATGTTGTTTTAAAAGCCTTGCTCAAGGGCATTCCCGTCCCCTGATGGTCCAGGCAGGTCCGGCTTCTTCAGATGCTTCCAGTAGGACCCTCTGGGTCTGCCCAGTGTCCCCCACCTGGCTGTGCTCTTCTTTGGAGCCTGGCAGCCTCACCCGGTGCCGGATCACCCTGGTTTGCAGGCGCACATCTTCAGAATGACTAGTCCTCACCTGTTCGTAGCCACCCTCAAGTAGCTGCAGAGGGGTGGCTTCTCTCTAGGCCTTTTTCCACCCACCCCCCACACCCCCCAGTCTCCTTCTGTGCCAAACCAAGCAAAACCTCAATAACCAGGCCAGCAGAGGTCATTCCTAACTTGGGGCCGCTCAGTCCTCTTGTCTTGAATCAAGCCCAGGGTTAGGCAAGTAAAGGTGTCTCCACACTTCAAAAAAGACCTGGAAGAGCTGGAGAAGGTCCAGAGAAGGGCAGCAAGGGTGGTGGATGCTATGGAGGCGCTAACAAGGCCAGGCCTCCTCAGTTGAGAAGGAGAGATGCTTGAGCAGGACTTGACCAGGGTTTACCAAATATGAAATGGCAACGAGAAGGTCAGTAGGGATTTAGTATTGACTGTGTCTGGACATGGGAGCGAGGGGTCACAACATGACACTGGCAGTAAGCGTAAAACAGACGTCGGGACGTTCTTTTTCATCCAGCGTGGGATGAAAGGGGAGCTCGCTTCCCCGTCTCGTGGACACGGAGAGCTTAGCCAGATTCACAAGGGGACTGGAGACTGTCTTGGAGGAAAGGGGCATCGGGAGCTCTTGAGCAGGGAGTGAGGGGCATGGCCCCTGATTAAGACTTCCTGGACCTTCAATGCTGGAGGCTGCAAATGGGAGAGGAGCAGGGGGGAAAAACCCTGCTCGGACCCAATCACTCTCCTTTCCAGTCTCTGCTTGCTGCCCCTTTGTGACATGGGAGACTGGGAAGGCGGGACCTTGGGTCTGACCCAGTAAATGGCCGTTCTTGTGGTTTTGTGTGTTTTAATGGCCTTTTAGGGGGGAAGAGAGGGCATGGAGTCTAATGTGTGCTTCTTTCAGGTAGGGGATGGACTAGGTGACCTCTGGAGGTCCCTTGCAGCCCAACTTCTCTGCAATTCTGGGATTCATTGCTTCAGAAACTAGCCCAGCATCTCCAAAGCACGAGACAGGAAGTTCTCCCTTTTTTTGTGCCAAACATGCTCAGATTCCCTCTTGCTCAGCGCCTGCCCCCGTTGAGACTGAGATCTCCCAGTGATTTCTGCAAAAGCAGTTTGGCAGGAGCCATCAATCCCTCGTTTCCACCACCTGTCATCTTTTTGGCAGTTGCCGTTCCCCTTCCCAAGCAGCCGGAGGCGGGGGCAGGAGACCGGAGGGCTCAGGTAGTGAATGAAACCCCGCGCTGCCCAAGAACAATAGCTTTGGCTTTGTTGTGCTGTAGGCCCCAAGTAAATGAACAGGGAGTGGGGAGACGGAGCAGCTGAAACTGTGAAGTCCTCCTCATCGAGCAGCAGCGGATCTCACCGAAGCAGCCTGGCTGCTGCTTGCTTGCTTGAAACCCAAATCCTCGAGTGAGACCAGGGCTGTAAAACTGCCAAATTCCTTCGCTGAGCAAGACCGTAAATGCCAGGAGTCCTGGCATGTTGGAGCGCCCAGGTTTTTTGCAGTAGCTCTATGACGAGATATTAACACCGGCATCTCAACCCTGGATTCAAAAGGGAAGTAGGGTGGGAACTGTCAGACGCGCCGGTGTGATCTATGGGATCTTGCTTGCGGTGATATCCGTCATCGTCGGCATCCAGAACTGAACTCTTTGATCCACATGGGTACAGTTTGTCCAGCCCCTTTTCTCCTTTGGTGCCCGCGGCCATCCCGGCTGCAGCGGCGGGTGGAATTTTTATATAGATAACCTGTTTAGCAGGAATTGGTCTAAGGCCAAACATTCATTTGGCCTCTCTCTGAAAGGCAGTGTGGATTAGCTGGTTCGCTTCTGACCCGAGCCTTGCAAATCAGGAATGGATGAGGTGAATCGTGCCATAAATAACCTGTTGCGTT